GGTGAACAAACATAAAAAACTCCAGAGAACAAAAGCCTGAAAAAAAACGGTTTTCTCAGCGCCCACCCCCTTAAGGGGGACCAGAGGACTTAACTCAGGGAACATCATTGACTGAAAACCCACATGGCAGGGCGCTCCCACAGAAAACCAACCAAGGGAAAAAAAAAAAAAAAAAAAAAAAAAAAAGACTACAAGAGAACCACCACCACTACTACATAGGACAACTTTTATTTTTAATTTGTTCCCACTATTCTGGCTCATTTTTTTAATAGATAATTTTTTAACCTATTTACCATCACAGTGAGCTGTCCAGTACATCAAATTCCATAATAACCTTCTAACCTGAACTTTTTGATACATACACCTGTGTTTTTCTTTTGCATTTCTATTTTTGAATTTTATTTTAATTTTAGTTTAGTTTAGTCTAGTTTATTCCTTTTTATTTTTATTTTCTAATATTCATATAGAGTTAAAACTTCAAAGTAATCCCCTTTCCCCAATCAATACTACCCCTATAGGTAAACCAATTTTTAATCCCCCGTTAGCCTAGGAAAGTTGAGTCCTTTAACAAAGATATCAAGACACATCCAGGAAGAATCAAAACAACCTTCCTCGCCCACACTGAGAATTTATAACCACTCTCCCATCTTTTTCTTCCACCAGTATTTCTGTGTTTATGTGTTTGTCCTGATAGTATATAAATCTTACACTTGGGGTTCTTTTCGACAAGGTTCTTCCTTTATTTGCATATACATGATTTTTTTCTCTTGTTATATAATTTTATCAGTCTTTTTGTTTGTCTGTTTTTGTTTGTATACCTTGTAAATCTTACCTTGGGGCCCATTTGGGCTGAACCTTTTCTTTCATCTTCCCTTTCTTTCCTGTCTATCTCTGTCTCTCTCCTTTTTTTTTTTTTTTATCTTTTTCCTTTCTTTTTTCTCTCATTTGGGTGGGCAATCCTGATTGCTCAGAAGTGTTCCAGGGTGCACCCAGACTGCACCACGGCCGATACATCCAGCTACATCTGTTCAGTCATCTCTCACCAAAATGACTAGGAGGAGGAATGCCCAACAGAAGAAAAATACAGAGGATGGACCTTCTGCAACAGAGCTAATGGCTATCAACATAGACAACATGTCGGAAAGAGAATTCAGGCTAACAATTATCCAGGCAATAGCTAGGTTGGAGAAAGCCATGGATGACCAAATGGAATTGATTAGGGCCGAGCTGAAAGCGACCAGACAGGATGTTCACAATGTTAGGGTAGAGCTAAAAGCTACCAGGGCTGAGGTTCACAATGCTCTCAATGAGTTCCAATCTAATCTAAATTCTCTCAAAGCTAGGGTAACTGAAACAGAAGACAGAATTAGTGATCTGGAGGACAGATAGAAAGGATAAAGAAGAAGCCTGGAACAAACAGCTTAGAAACCATGAAAACAGAATCAGGGAAATAAGTGACGCTATGAAACTTTCCAACGTCAGAATCATTGGAATCCCTGAAGGGGAGGAGAAAGAAAGAAGTCTAGAAGATATAGTGGAACAAGTTCTTCAGGAAAATTTTCCCAATCTCACGAATGGAACCAGCGTTCATGGACTAGAGGCCGAACAGTCTCCACCCAAGATTATAGATTCCAGAAAACATCAAGGCACCTGATAGTCAAATTGAGGAATCATAATTGTAGGTATAATCTCTTGAAAGCCGCGAGGACAAAGAGGCTCCTTACTTACAGAGGAAAGCCCATCAGAATAATGTCAGACATGTCCACAGAGACCTGGAAAGCCAGAAAGGGCTGGCAAGATACATTCAGGGCACTAAATGAGAAGAACATGCACCCAAGAATACTTTATCCAGCAAGACTGACATTCAAAATGGGTGGAGAGATAAAGAGTTTCCAAGACCGGCAAGGCTTAAAAGACTATGCAACCACCAAGCCGACACTGCAGGAAATATTAAGAAGGGTTCTATAAAAGAGGAAAAATCCTAAGAATAGCATTGAACAGAAATATAGAGACAATCTACAGAAAGAAAGACTTCAAAGGTAACACAAGGTCAATAAAAACATATCAATCAATAATTACGCTCAATGTGAATGGCCTAAATGTGCCCATAAAACGGCACAGGGTTGCAGATTGGATAAAATGACAGGACCCAACCATATGTTGTCTACAAGAGAACCATTTTGAACCTAAAGATACACCCAGACTGAAAGTGAAGGGATGGACAAGCATCTTTCATGCCAATGGGCCTCAAAAGAAGGCTGGGGTAGCGATTCTCATATCAGATAAATTAGATTTTAAACTAAAGACTGTAGTCAGAGATACAGAAGGACACTACATCATTCTTAGAGGGACTATCCACCAAGATGATCTAACAATTGTAAATATCTATGCCCCAATATGGGAGCAGCCAATTACATAAGAAAACTGTTAATCAAGATAGAGTCATATTGCTATGAATACATTAATAGTAGGAGATCGTAAC